TGTTTATTTTGTTAATTTGATTTAATAGATGTGAAGATAACGAAATATGGTGGTGTTGTTGAGAACCCACCAGTATTCATCCCTAAGGCCATCTCCAACCGAAGAGAGCCAAAGGGTCATGTTTAGCCCTATAGCCTTGCAACAAATTATATTTTAATGAACAATGTCAGATCACATTTTATACTATCTTCAACCGAGAGGGTCAAGAGGCCATAGGCCAAACATAACCCTTTGACAAAAAAATCATCTCCAACTGAGGGGGCCAAAAGGCCATAGGCCAAACATAAACCCCTTAATAATTTATTATTTTAATTGAATTAATATGTTTAATTAAATTAAATTACCATATTAAAATAAGGTTTTTGGACATATTTTGAGTGCCACTTGCCACAATAACGAAGAAAGAGTGGTATTCTTACACTTGCCACAAAGTCAATCTTGACATTCTAGCGCTGGAGGGCTGGATGGCTGGCTGGAAATGACTAGCCTGCTAGCCTGATTTGGGGGTTTTGGCTTGGTGGGGCCCACAAGCCCTTTGGCTTAGCCCTCAGTTGAAGACGGTTTTCGTGTCATTTTGAGCTACTTTTAGCCCTATGGCCCTATGGCCCTTTGGCCTTTTGGCTGGGTCGGTTGGGGATGGCCTAAGATGTCTACTCCATCGCCTATGAGTTCAACGAGGGTATGATATTAATTTTCTTGCAAGCGTGACATTCGAAACAATTGTCACACTGTTAACCGGGATAAAAGATATTACGTAGAGTTGGTGTAGCAACAAAGGAGAAGCTTAAAAGGGTAGTAGAATGGGTGAAGAAGAGGAACACTCAAGATCTCCATGGATGTTCACTGCAAGAGGAAATCTCTCGAGAAATTGGAAAACAACCCAGGGACATGCTTTTCACTTTTGCAACACTAACCAATTCTTGCAAGGCCCTTTTTTACGTGCCTGTTGCTGAAAATTTTCTGCCCTTCAACTCAATATCTCATGATCCATGCGAGTTGTTTAACAAGGAAGAGTTGTTTGTTAGTAGGAGACTGTATAAAGCCGGTGATGGCAGTTTGGCGAGAGATCTCATTTGCACAGGCTGCCAGCTTTGTGGTTCCCCATTGGAGCTCGACAGGTATGTAATGAGAGATCAGACACATTCTATTATGCTTTGTTTGCGTTGCAAGGTAGTTATGAGTACCGAATTTATGTCGATGGCAAATGTTTTGGTGGCTTGTTGTTGCAGCGAGAACGTGTTTAAGCAGAATGCAGTTGCGCTTTATTGTTCAGAAAGCTTGAATCACCTTCATGTCATAAGCTCCATATACAGGCCCCTTATGACTTTGTTTTCCCACTGATCAACTTTCGTGCTGTTCGAATTTAGTTTATGCCAACTATTCCCTCATGATTTGTTCCAATCTGATTGCTTTCTGACTTCTTGTTTGTTATATACATGTTCAACACGGCTGTTCTCTTGACTGCAATTATATGTGTGGGACGAAGTATGCACCGCTCCTGGTCAAAAACAAGGCCGCAGAGCTCTTGTTCGAGAACATCAGGGCTGAAAGAGTCTGTTTGTGCTATAAGGGGAAAAAGCAAGCCGGACAAGTTGATTCGAAAGATGTTCCGACACATACTAGTCTAAACGCCAAAGTGGCCTGGCAACCTAAAGCGGTTGTTCTAGTTTCTTGTTCAGCAGACAGAGACAAGAAGAACTCGGAATCAAAGGGGAAACACTGCTGAAAACAATGCTGTTGCAAGGAAAGAACAGCCCTTTGAAATTTGAAGTCAATGCAAATGCTGGTTTTGTTTAGACAGGGAAAATGGGAGGTTTGAAAAGGTTTCTGTGCAGTTGCCATGCTTCAAAACCAAATAATCTTCAAACTATGTATTGTTTATCAAGAATTAAGAGTTTTTCTTCGTAATTATACATTGTATATTATAAGTCACAACATTTGTTGCTGAACAACTTTAAAGTAATTTTCATACAGGTATTTCCAAGATAAATAAACACAGAGGAATTAGAATTCCCTGCCTCAAATGATTAACTCATGGAATCGTGCCATGCGAGGGAAATTAAACCTAACGTTATGTCATTAACAACTTTCGTGTGATTATTAACCCATGAAAAAGGGAAGGCAGAATTCAAGCAAAAGGGGTCATTCAACAGGTTCGACTATTAAGCTTTTACAGTAAAGAAATTTGAAGAGAAAACTGACAGCAGCCAAACACGAGCATATGATCCATATGCTTAAGAGTCAAGACTATGATTCCGCCCCAGTCTCAGTAAATGAAGCATCAGTTCCAGAAGTCTGGGCTTCTAATAGCTTCGCTTGGCATTCTGCATGTTCTCTTTCACACTGAGCGATTCCCATTATAATATCAAGCATGGTACCTGTTGTGCTGAAGAACACAAGCGGCGCTAAATATTTCCTTTTAATCCCTACTGGAATTGCTAACAAAGCCCCTACTATGGAGAATACCCAAGTGCCCATTGCGCTACAGATAACCATGCACATCATCATTCAACTACACCTCAAGCTAGCACATAAACCAGAATAAACTTAAATGGGAAAGATTGTATCTACGATGCCAAAGAGAAGAATGGCCAGGAACCATAAAGTGAAATTTTCCACGCTCTAACGAAGTTGAGTGATGTATTGTTGGTTTAGCCAGATGATATTCGGAATGTATTAATAAACTAATATTCTAGAAATTTTATTTATGATTTTTGTGATAAACACATAATTTTTCTCTTTCGTGTAAACGGCATGGGTCAATGAGACAATTAAAACAATTAAACCGAGTAGAAACCTCTACAGGATTACGAACCATAAAACTGTGGAAGAAAACATCACAGAAACTGTGTATGGAGTCTAATGAGTCAATAACTAATACTGATGGGAGCAAAAACATGCTTTAATTACTTGTACAAGTTTTAGTAGACAGGTCTAAATTCTCCATGATAGTTAGAAGTCACTATAGTCAAATGTACAAGTATTCTGGTTTATAACAAAATCTTAAAGTTCAACACGAAATTGGTGATCTCCTAGCTCCATGGGGATTTGTTAATATCAATTTGTTTGATATTCCTTTTGATAGGTGAACTCCAATATGTATAAAATTATAATGATTAAACTATCCAAGATATGCACAGCTTAAGAGTATCTGAATAACAAAGAAAAACTTTTGGATCAAAATAATAGAACATATATGGTGATGTGCAACAAGCAAAACATTCCAACGCAATAAATCCGTTGATGAAAGCTTCAGAAAACGATTACTCACAAAATTTTCCAAAGAAAAGCTTCCAATATGTTAAACTTAATCATGATTGGTGATCTAGAACTAGAAGTTAAATTTCACTAGAAAACAAGTGGCATCCTCAAGAGCTGAAGAAATGGTTTTCCTTCTAGGTTTGGAGCTAAAGAAACGGTTAAATATTCGAATACAAAGCTCGAAAAAGATCAAGTATGATCAGAACAGGTAGAGAAGCTTCTTCTTAAATCTTAGCTCATCGCATAATTGTTCAACACATCCAATCCAACTAGATAACCCGTCACTGCCAATACAATACCAGTCATCATGGACATGATACATCCCCAATCCACTACTAAGATCTCCATATAAGGATGAAGTTCTCACACATGCCACTCGAAGAACCACAAAAATTGAAAACATCCATAAGTTGCGAATGGATTTCCGAACGTCAAATTCTTAATAAGTATATCCAAAAAACAACCAACCTGCAGTCAGTGACCCAATGCCGTTCTAGAATGGCCTATCAACTTGTTCTGACCTAGGATAATAAGCTCATAAGTTTAGTCTTACCTCACCGTCGAGAAAACGAAAGAAGACTTCTATCTCAAAACTAAAACTTCAAGGACGATTGAACAAGAAATTTATTCCATAATATTACTTGAACGTCATTGGTAACACTTCACAAACATATATGAAAAAAGAGTAGAGATTCAAGGGCAAAGTAGAAATAATAATGGAAAAATATATAAGTCACAGAAAGGAAGGATTAAACTGACTTGGCAACTGAGCAGTCCTCAAGCTGCTTTACAGTCTCTTGGCTACCCATCTCTCTCTGGTTTTAAGCTACACCCGTGCTTACGAGTAGAAATCCACTTCATTCCTGTTCCACTCTTTAGTCAGTTTCGACAAAGCGACATTTTAAACTACTCCAATATATGAGAAGCAGAATTCAAACTTGGGCGGAAGGTGGCAAGCCCACTGCCCTGCCCAATTGGCCTAACCCATTTTACTAAATTTGATAATTATGAATGTTGGATTATAGTCAATCACCAAATATCCTAAAGAAATTCAAAAATCCCATTGAAATGCACAAACAAAACGGAAAGGAATGAACAAAAAGCAATTGAATTTGAAAAATTAAAAAGGTACCGATTGGAGTGTAAAGCAAATGAAGCTTACATGATCAGACATAGGACTGAGAAGTTGAAGATTTCATTACAATCCTCCTCAAGGATCACAACTTTGATTTTGTGCCCCTAAGCCAGATTCGAGTCATAGCATACATGGGCCGGGTCAAGTTGGGGAGGGGGGTCGGGTTTATACTCAAAATAAAACAAGCCCAAAGCCTACTGCCCTGCCCAACTGGCTTAACCCAATAATTATGAATGTTGGATTATAGTTAATCGCCAAATATCCTAAAGAAATTCAAAAATCCCATTGAAATGCACAAACAAAACCGAAAGGAATGAACAAAAAGCAATTGAATTTGAAAAATTAAAAAGGTACTGATTGGAGTGCAAGGCAAATGAAGCTTACCTGATCAGACACAGGGTTGAGAAGTTGGAAGATTTCATTACAATCCTCCTCAAGGATCACAACTTTGATTTTGTGCCCCTAAGCCAGATTCAAGTCATAGCATACATGGGTCAGGTCGAGTTGGGGGGGGGGACGGGTTTATACTCAAAATAAAAAAAGCCCAAAGCTCGGCCCAACTGGTATAAAGGAGTTTCAGACTCTCTTATAGGGGAACGAGGAGAGAGATGATGAGAGGTGTGGGAGGTCCTCTTTTGTGCATAGGCGATCTGCTGAGCGACGTGGGGGAATCAAATGCTTCGCCGCCACTGCAACAACCTGAGACCTCCTCGTTTTCTTCTGTTTCTAGCTTCGATCAGAGCTTGGACCTCACCAAGTTGTTCTAGGTTTTCCTTTTTTCACATTCTCATTTACTGTGAATTGCAAGAACAATTCGGTGAGTTTTCCACATTTTTGTTTGGAAAACCGAAAACCCATTAGGTGGATTTTTCAGTTGTAGCATCCTTTTTGATAGGAAGACCAAAGATGGACAGAAGTAAACAACTTTTATGTGGAATTTGCTTATGTAAGAAACACTTCTGCTCATAAATGCTCTTGCTAGAAGTGCTTTTATTGAATTACATTGAAATTTTTATTAAAAATCAAAGTGCTTCTATGACCCAAAGAACTTTTATGTTTTAGTGCGAAATGTAGTCAGAAACGCTTTTAGTCCTAAAATACTTTTAGCCTTTTCAGAAGTGGTCCCAAATAGACCCTTAGACTTTAGAGATCATGGGTAAACCTGGTTCCTTTTGTAATATACCTTGTGTATATGATCTTCAGATCTTGTTAATAAAGTTTTGCTGAACTGCTGTTCTGATATAACGTAGTTTTGCAATTGCATTCTCTTATTGTTGTATATGAGTGTTCCTTACTCTATATACTATCTTCGTTTTAGGAGAACTATGAGCAGCTGAATGAGGCGCTTTGCGGTACAGATCATTCATGGGCAGCTCTTACTTTGAAGGTGATGAATGATCTTATCAGAATGTATGAATGACATATCTATAGATTCTGCTAGGATGATTAATGTTCCACTTCTTACCGCGCCATTGTTTGTTCTCCATAATTTGTGCAGCGCCTAGTATGCTATCTAACATTTAGATACTTTTTCTTGCATGGTAAACATTTTATTTTATGGGCTCAGATGTATGCATGTGTGTGTTTTTTGTTTTTTTTGGGGGGGGGGGGGGTGGTACATTCACATGATTTTAACTTTTCCGAGGAAATGTAGAGGTATTGGTTTATCCCACATCATAATCTGTTTCTGAAAGGTTGTTCCCTTAAGCAAAGACATTCGGAAACTCTAGGTTGGATTTCACCTGCATAATTCTTTTGTTTTACATGTCCATGAGTTCTAATTTGTCTTGTAGATTATTCTTTGTTCATTATTTTGGGAAATTAGTGTCTTGTAGGTTGTAGAATGCAAATCATTATACTCAGGCATTTTTATATTCCTTTTGGTACGATCAATTGCATTACAACTGGTTTATTGTCACTCACATAATTAGGTATATAGAGAGAACAGTCTCATAACTTACGAGACAAATGATATCAAAACATAACAAAAATATATATAAACCAGTTCATATTTTCACATAACTACGTAAATATTCCCTATAAGATTTTCATGTAACTATGTCCCAATATGATTTCTATATGCATGGTTGGAAAAATACTTAAAGAAATAAACTCCCCTAATGCATTTGACATCATTGTGACTGAGTCTGTAATGTTAGTGTTTATGATATTTGTGTGTGGTAATAGAGGTATCATAGCAATTTTGTTCAAGCAGAAAATCAATGAGATGATGATCTCTGCTCGAAGAGCATGAAAGAATGGAGATGCGAGAAACTCGGAGTCGTAGCTCCCTGGATTCAATTTAGGTGTAATTGAATCCATGCTCACAGAAATGGAAATGGAGGTGAGTTATAGCCGTTGGAGGGGTACTCACTCATCCAACTCACACACTCATGTGCACAACACATGATCAACTATAAGTGAGTTGTTATAACATGTGGCACACATGTAGCCTTTTAGCTTTGTTTTAATCTCAGCCCTACATTACAAACTAAGAACAAACACTCAATATTGAAAGGAAACATGTAACCTGGATCAAATGCAGCTGCAGAAGCTTAAGCACCAACACTCCATTCTAAGCTGGCAGCTGATTTGACTCCAACATTTCTCTAAAATAGTTGAACTTCTCATTTGGCAGTGCCTTGGTCAAGATATCAGCCATTTGTTCTTCGGATTTGCAGTAAACAAGCTCAATTTCCTTATCTTGGATAGCCTCCTTGATGAAGTGAAATTTCCTACTGATGTGCCTTGTTTTCTGGTGAAATAATGGATTCTTATCACACATTAGCAATGTAGGCTCCACTTGTTCTTCCCCAAAGTCTTCTAGAACAAATCTCAGCCACGTGGCTTATGAAGTTGCTTCAGCTGCACTCATATATTCAGCCTCTGTAATGGATAATGCCACTGTTTTTTGCTTGATTGAAGCCCAAGAAAACACACATGATCCTAGATTGAAGGCATACCCTAAGGTGCTTCTCATATTATCCTCACTGCCGGCCCTAATCACTATCACAATATCCCATAAAAAGAGCTGATTTTCCCTTCACATACTCAATGCTAAAATCCAAAGTACCTTGAATGTATCTCAGTACCCTTTTTGTTGTTCCCATATGTTTCTTAGTTGGATCATGCATTAATCTTGCCAAGAGACTAGCACCAAACATAATGTCTTATCTAGTGGCACTAAGGTACAACAAACTTCGTACCAATTTTCTGTGTTCAGACTCATTTGCAGCCTCACTTCCATCATTCTTGCATAGCCTGTCATGTGCTGCAAGTGGTGTTCCCACAGATTTACAGTCTTTGAGGCCAAATTTCTCCAACAGCTTCATTGCATACTTCTGATGAAGGAATATGCTCTTCTTTGTTTGTATAACTCCTATACCAAGGAAATGGTGCAGCAATCCCAAATGTTATCTCATAATGCTGCATCATGTCATTTTTGAACTTCTCAAGCATTGTGACACTACTTCCAGAGTACACAATATCATCAACATATAAAGAAACAATGAGAATTCTTGAGTTTTCAACCTTAGTGTATAAGGTGGCTGCACTTGGACATTTTGAAAACCAGCCTACATAAAATAGGAATCAATTTCATCATACCAAGCTCTTGGAGCTTGCTTAAGGCCATATAATGTCGTATCCAGCTTGTACACTTTATCCTCCATGCCTTGAATGACAAATCCTTGAGGTTGATCGACATAAATCTCCTCCTTGAGTACACCATTAAGAAAAGAAGACTTTACATCCAACTGAAATAGCTGCCATTCCTTTTGAGCTGTAAGAGCTATCAGTGTTCTTATGGTGCCTAGCCTAGCAACTGGTGCAAAGGTTTCATTAAAGTCAATATCTGGCTTTTGTGGATAACCTTTTGCAACCAATCTGGCTTTGTTCTTTTGTATTGTCCCATCTTGGTTCAACTTAATCTTGTACACCCATTTCACACCTATGACAGGTTTGCTAGAAGGCCTATCAACCCGCATCCATGTATGGTTCTTTTCAATAATATCTAGCTCAGCTTGCATAGTCTTTTTCCAAGAATCATCCTGAGCTGCCTCTTCATAATTCTCAGGTTTTAAGTGCATACATTGCATTGAGCCATAACTTCATCCAGTGCTCTCCACTTCTTTGGAGTGAAGTCATAACTCTGTGATAGACTCAAGTCCCTCTGTGATAATCAATGTTTGAACTCAATTATTCCTATGGAGTGGTAGGAGCAATCTTAGAAGATACTAACTCTTCTTGTTCTTCTGAGTTTGAACTGGTTCAATTTCTGCATTACCAGTAGTGGTTGGATCACTGAAATACTTCCTAGAGTTTGCTTCCCAATTCTAGCTACCATTCTCATCAAATACCACATCCCTGGATAGGATAATCTTCTTAGTGATAGGATCAAAGACCCTGAATCCTTTTTCACTGGTGCCATATCCCACAAAAATGCACTTGTGATTATTACACTCAAGCTTGTGTCTCAGATTTAAGGAACATGAACATAGCATATTGAACCAAAGACCTTCAAGTGTGCAATTCCTGGTTCAAGTGTGCAATCACTCTCTTTAGATGATTCTGGGATAGTAAACCCACTTTCTACAAGCTCCCAAAGTCCATGAGACTTGAGAATGGATTGCATTCTGATTCTCCAGAATTCATAGTTTTCCCCATTGAAATTGGAGTGCGAAGCTCAGAACTCGTTAATCAGCCATATTAGACTCAGAGCTTCGATTTTCACAGGCTTTCAAAGCACGATTCTACAGCGATGAAGCTCGATGAAAGTGATTCACTGAAGAACACAGAAATCACAGATTCATGCCCAGATTAAAGCGATGAACCTGGCTCTGAGGCCATTTTTAGTGTTTATGATCTCTGTGTGTGGTAATAGAGATATCAGAGCAACTTTGTTCAAGCAGAAAATCAATGAGATGATGGTCTCTGCTTGGAGAGCATGAAAGAATGGAGATGCGAGAAACTCAGAGTCGTAGCTCCTTGGATTTGATTTAGGTGTTACTGAATTGATGCTTATAGAAATGGAAATGGAGGTGAGTAACAGCCGTTGGAGGCGCACTCGCTCATCCAACTCACACACTCACATGTACAACACATGCTCATCTATAAGCGAGTTGTTATGACATGTGGCACACATGTAGCCTATTAGCTTTGTTTTAATCTCAGCCCTACATTACAAACTAAGAACAAACACTTGAAATTGAAACGAAACATGTAACTTGGATCAAATGCAGCTGCAGAAGCTTAAGCAGCAAGATCTGACACCATATTAGTCACAGAAAGTCCCAAAAGTTGCCTGGACAAAAAGATGGGACAAAATTATAACCAAAAAAAAGTTGGACACCATATAATTTTGTTCTTTGTACAACAACGTAAGGTTTCCATTGATATTTAGATTTATAGATTATGGGACTTTTCTGTGTTATGGTGTAAACAATTGTTGTGACTCGTAATATGGTGTAGATTCTGAAGTTTTTATCTTTTAATTATTCCAGTTATGCAGTGCTTTGGAAACTGCAAACAAGTTAATTCAGTCAACAAACTCAAATGTCATGTCATTGTCGGAGAAGGTTGGAGAGCTTGAGGGAGTTATCAAGAGGGCAGATTCTGCCATATCAGCAGCAAGGGTCGTTCATGGTTCACTAAACAAAAAGGAAGGACCACTTATTGGCAATCAAAATGCCAAATGATCCATGTCTTGTCGAGAGCAAGGTTAGTTAATTCGATCAAGGGAAAAAAATGTGAAAATACTAGGCCTTAGAAACTGAGGTGTTTGCTGTTAAAAAAGTCTTTTCCTTTGCTTTTCTTCATTGTCACAACAAAAGGTATCATACAATAGGAGTAAGAAGCTAACCTGCCTGATGCAAAAGGGAGGTGTAACTATCAATTATCCATCTTTTATGGATAGAACAAATCTATCTCTTGCTTATTTCCTGAGATGCCTCGTCAATATGAGAGTTTTGGTTTCTACGGTTTTAAGATATATTCCAACACGAGGTCATCACCTCACTTGCATAGAAAATTTTGTTGTTTTATTCCTATTTGGTTGATATTCTTTGTGAATTGACAATGTTGTAAAAATCTGTCTTGATATTCTCATTTTGGTAGTTCTTGGTTCTTGCATTCTTATTTACTAACTGTAGCCAGAAAGCTCTCTCTTAGAATATAGCATCGACAGTCTCATTGCTTTCGCTATATTTTCAGTTAAATGATTGCAAGCGTCGTTGACGGATCTGAAGCTGGGACATCATTGCTGAGATGAATATTGTTTAGAAATCTGTAGATCGTAAGTTTCTTGTGTGAGAAATCGTTGAGTAGCATAGAGTTGTTTTCTGCTCCATATGTGGTTGCAGCGCAATACTAGACCATAGAGGATTCTATAGACACTAAAAGATTGTCTTCCGACGTGAGTTTTTGTAAATACAACATCCATTTTTCCTCTAGTTCCTCAAATTTTTGTTCTTATTATAAGTGTAGCTTTTGAAATGCTTGAATCTCAAGTGTGCTGAGATGAATTTAGAATTTTCGACCAAAAAAAGAGTTGATTTTGTGGTTTCCATATATAATCACTCTGGTGGAAATTCTCTCCCGCACATTTTTCTTCAGGACTAAATGGGTTGGGATCTAACTAGTTGAGATTTAGCTAAATCTCAAACATGTACACGTTAAAAACATGCGCAGGTTAGCAAAGCTAATCACTCTAAACTATATCACGAAGTGGCCCGAAAAGTCCACTAGGAAAATTTGAACGGATTTATAACTCTACCAGGTTATATTGTTTCAAACCCAAATCCTTAGCAACCCATAACACAACAAACCCAATTGCAGTTCAATTTAGTTCTGCAAGTCTGGTTCAAAACATTTCTCAATTTACCAACCTCTTCAATTCAACGGATTCTTATTACATTTTCGTTTTAATACTCCTTTGCCAACGAGACCCGAGGGTGACCAGCGCGTGTTCCAACCCACTTCAAATCAGAAAGAAAAGGAATTCTATCTTGTGCACATAGGTTTTGATCACATACCTCGTATGGACAATATATTCACACTATATTAACAGTATAATGACAGCACAGTTTTTATTATTATCAGTATGGTGAAAATACGACATTAATACACTATTAATACCGATCATGCACAACCCATGCGTGGGCAGGTGAGCCACTTAAATGTTCCCTACGTTGACAAAGTGGACGCATGGGATCATTTGATAATAAATTTGGGCCTCAATGTGAAACAATCACATTTTAACTCGATCCATATTTGATACTTTTATTTTTTTGTTTGAATGAGTATATTTGATACTATCCAAAAGGAAAGAGTTGGGGTTAACTTAGAGCAGACTCCAAGTCACTTGGAGATCGCTAAAGAGAATCCTAGTCCTAAATGAGTTGGATTTTCGTATCGATAAGATCATCGTCAAATCTGAAGTATCAGCTAAGGATCAAATAAGATCGTTTTGCGATTCTACTCCTAAATGAATTAGGTCATCTAACACCATTATACAAGACCTCACTGCCCCTCCTCCAAAGTGTGCACTTCTAAGCCTTAGAGGGCTTTTGAACGACACCACACTAGTGTTCTCCCAATAGCTCTCCGTAGAGCTCTAGATGATATCCCCCTTGGTTGCGTCGAGCTAGTTTGGAAGAATAGTTTGTCCTCAATCACGAGACGTCACCTTGTTGAACCAATTTTAGTCATCAACATGGCAAATGAGGGATAGAGAGTGTAGAAGAAATGTATAAGGAAAGGTACACAAAATGAACATTAAAACAAAAAACTATTATAAGTTGTTTTCACTTTCAAAAAATTTATTTTCGTTCATTTTCCATTCTGTCTTGCCACCCTTTTTCATCCCTTATTTTCTCACCACGTGATATTCCCATGTCTCACGCACAAAAAATATAATAAAATAGAAAACAAAACAGTTATCAAACAGCCCCTAATACAATATAAGAGAATAAAATTGTATTAAATTTTCGGACTAACTATATTTAGGCACCGTTGAAGTTTGAGGTGATTTTGAAAGGGGTAGTGCTATCCATACACCCATATTTACTTCGGGTTGATTGAATTGAAGACGATCAATAGCTAAAAATTAATAAGAGTATGGGAGGTAAAATTGGGTGTTGAAATAGCATTGTCCTTTTGAAAATGGGCGATGAGGCTTCAATTCTCACATTGCACCCTAAGGTTTTGAGGTTGTATTGATTTACACGTTTTGTATCTTTGAACGTCAAATCATCCACTAAATTGATGAGTTTTTCTTTGTTATTGTGGTGCAAACATGACTTACATGTCAGGCCATACAGAGTCTCAAGTTGACTGCCTCATTAATTTGATAAATTATCATATAATCAATCACACCTAAGATACAAATTGATACAATTTCAATACGTTATAGTACAATATAAGACAATTAAAATTTTATAACCCATTTTAAAAATCACCTCAAATCTGAAGAGTATAAAATGTAGTTACCTCTAAATTTCCTATTCAAATGAAAATTGAAATCAGCGGTACGGTACGGTGGGTGAGAAACAGCACTTGCACGCGTCACCAGATGAAGAAGATTACATTGTCAACAACCTTCCCATTTGGTCTGTAATCCAAGCTGCTGCCATGTGCAACTTCTTAATTAATAAAAGTCACAATCTGTTTTCCAGTTGAGCCCACTTGGTGCCTTTTAAAACCTCATTAAGAAACTACTTAAACATTTCAAACATAAACAACTAGATTATTCTTGCTGAGCAAGACAATTAAGTCCCCATCACTAATTACAACCCTTATCAGTTTCATTGAGTAATGTATGTCTATATATATATCTAAGGCACTGACATCAGTGCCTCAATTTTAACTTTCATACTCTTGTCGATTTTTTATTTTATTTTTTGGGCTTTGAATATTATCCATTTTTTTATTGATGTATATTTTAAATACAAGAAATAGGCATGACGTGCAATACCTCTTAACAAAATTCTTGGAGGACACCCAGAGACTCCCAAGTCCTAACCTTCTTGCATACATAAATCATATTTTTATTTTACATTTGTGTACTTGGTCTCAGTTATGCAGCTGATTCAATCTTGGTTTAAGATATTTAGAATATGATTGTCAAACTCAAACATATGATGCTGGTTACATTTTGGTTTTAGTTAACTACCACTTGCCCTATAACATGGACAAACCTACGTTATGGAAACTAATTAAACATGGCAGTTCATGTTATTCGGTCATATTTGTGTTGTGTCATTTCGTATTTGTGTCAAAGACATATTATGTTTAATTTATCGAAAGATTCAGATCTAACCTGACTTACCCTACAACACGTTATGAAAACTGAAAGCTAGCAATTAATGTTAATAGGACATAACCGTGTTGTGTTCTTGTGTTAGTCATTTAAACTCAATGTGTTTAGTTTATTGTGTTGAAGGATTTAACCCTAACTCAACCTATTTATATTTACGTAAATTTGGAGAAAAACTTGTATGGGGCTTGATTTACCACTGAACTTTGTTGAATGACACTACAAATCCATTCAAAATTTGCCATGTGGCAAATATTAAATAGAATCATTTATCATTCTTTTTTATTTAAGATTCTCATAAATATTATTTCTACTAATTAATATGCACCATGAGATCAATTTAACAGTTCATATTCTTACTTTTTTCCCTTTTATTCTTCCCAAATATTCCATTCAAATTTAGTGCTTTAGAATTTGTGTGAAAAGAGTTTTCCAACAGATATCAATTCAACTAGACTGATGTGAACAAACAATCTAAAAAACAATTGAGCAAACATGAAGCACGATGAAGTGGGCATCAATTATTTCATGGAAACATAAATACAATTTTCGAAAAATAAGAAGTGTTGCTAACTAGACTTGAGTGAATGGAGATGCTGATTAGAAATTCTTTCATGCTTTTGGGGAAAAAAAAAAGAGAGAGAAAGAGGAGAAGAAAAAAAAAATGAACCATTAGATTGATCCCGTGGTGTATATTAGTTAGTAGAAAAAAAATAATTATGAGAATTTTAAATATAAATGATTATATTTAAAACTTTCCATGTATGCAAGTTTTGAATGGATTGTAGTGCCATTCAGCAAAATTTAGTGGCAAGTCAAACCTCACACAAATTTTTCTTGTATATTTGAGTTAAGAACTTGAGAGTAAGCTTCCATTATTGAATCATTACATATAAAATAGATATTCACTTAAATATGAAATTAAACTTTTGAGAAAATGGTACGATATTTATTGATTGAGAAAGAATATGTACAAATAGAGGAGTGTGCAATCATGGGCCTCAATAAAAATCTTGCTAGGGATTTCAACCCGATCGAAGAGAAAAAAAAGGTCCCGCACAACCAACTTCAAAAGTTAGATATCCTCAGAGTTACAGTGAAGGCCTTTTAAACTCTAATACTTGGGAAAATAGCTCACGAAGAGCTTTCTTGCAGCAGCAGATCGAGAAGTAAGTCAGGAGGAGCCTGAACCAAGTTAATTCCTCTCCACAACCAAGTCCAGTACGCGCGAGATGGTGGGCTGCTCCATTAGCCTCACAACGAACATATATGGTTGATCTGGGCAAGAGGAACTTCCAGTAGGTAGGCGCGGAGATAATTGGTAATTGGTCCTAAGACGCAGAAATCCCCCTGCATCTTCATAGAGGCAAGCGCCAAGCTTGAGTTGTTGGATAGTGGCCAAATTAGGCTAGGAAACAAAACAAAATTGATGAGGTAACATCATGATGAGGATTATGTTTCCTTGTTTTGTGGCTTGTTTTGTTCCTTGTTTTGTGGCTTGTCTTGTTCCTTGTTTTGTGGCTTTTTCAAAGCCATAATTATTTGGCTTTCGGGTAGAATATAAGGAGGAGAACAAAAGAAAAAATTAGAGAGTGAGAGTAAGGAACTCTTGGGGTAGAGTGAGGCTCTTGGGAAAATTCTGTGAGTGGGTGTACAAGGGATATGGGATTGGGT